ATACAAACTTTGTACATTTCAAGTTCCAAATCTCATATCCATTTTCATTAGCTTAGGTTGTTTATCCAAGGAATCAGTCCAGGTCTGAGGCTTTGTGTTCATTTTCGTAACATGTTGATTTTTTATGGTGAGGAGTTGTTAGCCCCACGCCCAACCCCCAAGATGGAGGGCCACCCCTTGTCGGCTGTCCGCGACTGCTTATTCAATATATTTGCAGCTTCCCTCCAAAACTGGAGTGCGTCTCCTCCAATCACAACCTGAGGCCGCGCCATGCCGTGGTGACAGGGACCCACCTAACATGGGAGTCAGTGAACCTTATGGTTCCATAACGAGTGAAATATTTCTTACTCATCCATGCAACAGTTATCTGCTCAAGAAAAAGTCTACAATTTATGCCACCTGTGTTATAAAATAGCAAAATGGATATTGTGAAAGAAATTTTTATTTTTCAAAATGTTTTTGTATATGTCATTGGTTGAGTGTACACTTACTTATGGGAAATACATGATTTTACTTGAAAGCCAGGGTGACTTTAACAATCAGTGGTAATACATATTATATAGCATCAACAGAAAGTATTATTAACGCACCTGATATTTTTTCATTTGTAACACATTTTATTGTAATTTTTCATAATTGAACTTCACCAAAAACACAACAAACTGAAACAACATTATAAGATGGCCTCGTATAATTGATGCCAGGGCCCGGTACCGGGCTGTGGCCCAGCAGTTGAGAAACATTGTAATAGATCATTGAAGGTCGCAGTGCAAGGCCCAGATTATTATGACCCACCCCTCATACATACATGCTTAGTCACCAGAGCTTATATAAATAAAACCATACAGTTATGATTTTAATACATACAGGAAGGAAGAGAAGCTGTAGGTTGGGTAGAGTATCACACTGCACTTCTGAAAAGCGTTTCTTTGCAGCTGGTAGTTATCATTGCCATCCTGTTATCTCAGAACAAGACAATGTTATGTTACAGCACTCTTTTGTCATTTAGAGTTGGAGTATTATGCTGTTATGAAAAAAATGTTTATTTTCTTTGCCTGACTGTCTTTTATGTAACCTGTACAGACAAACACGTATGCTGGCTGACCTAGCCTTGGTGGGCTGTTACAACACGTCCTATATGCCGTCAGATGCTGAAAGGAATCGTGTCATGTTAGCAAGTGCAAAGAGAAACCTGGCTGCCATGGCATTCTTTGGACTGACAGAATATCAGAAGGTAGTTAAATGTGCAGTGGCTTAGGTGTAATGTGTTCTCTCCCAGTATCTCATACCAATTTAACATGTGTTTTCTTTCTAACCATAAAAAGTAAGTAAAGGTATCCCTGTAACAGGCTGTGGAGGCCCATAGGGTTGTGAGATGTTGAGGTTCCCACATTTTCTACATAGTCGGTTCATAGATCGTGGCAAGGTTGTCAGCCCTACATGCCAGCCGCCCTTTACCCCCAAGAATATTCCTGGTACTCATTTCTTTTAGAGTCTGAGTCAACCCCACGACCACAGTGAGGCTGGAAGGATTAGGTCAATTAAAAAAATCCTGTGACCTCATCAGGACCTTCCGGCTTGTAGCATAGTGCCTCAACCAACTACGCTACCGTGTCCCTCCAATGATCTTACATTACTATAATATACATTTCAAAATACAGTTCATTATTCTTCAAATCTGTATAGGAGTTTTGATCCGTTTGTTAAATTTCAAGCATTTTCTGTTTCTGTGTGCTGTGACAGGAGATGTATGGTGGTAAACAGAGCTGATCAAGTCTAATCTAAGCTAGTTCACACGGACATGTACTTAAGTGGTATTGGTGGTTTGTTGCCAGTAAACTTCCATCAGTAGAGATACGAAACTTTGGTGATTTCTCTTATTTGCTTTGTTTAAACAAACATGTTTTGGAAGTTTAAATAAGTGGCTTTATCCTAAAGATCTGTCTTTGTCAATAGCCTCAATTAGCATTACATCTATATAACTGCGGCCCTCCTCAGTTTTCATAATAATTGTCCACAGCAATCAGATCCTTATTACATATTCCATAACAGGCTCAATATCCAAAAATATGTATTTTGTTTCCTTTGTTGCAACAAATTGGTTGTTTCTTTTTTAGGTCAGTCAGTATGTTTTTGAGGAGACATTCAATCTACGATTTGCAGTTCCATTTGAACAAAACAACACAACTTTATCGAGTGTAACACTGAGTACAATCGGACGAGATCAAATAAAAATGATTCAACAACTGAATATGCTGGACCTGGAATTATATGCATTTGCTAGGAAACTGATGTATCAGCGCTTTGAAAGACTGCAGAAACGGGATAGCCAGTTTCCTGAGAGATTTTCCCATCTGGGTGAACTGCCAGGCAGGCAGACAGAAGCTTTCAATTGGGATCAAGTTATTGATGGTGATGACAACAGCAGTGTAACTCCACACAAATGATGAAAGTGAGAATAAATTAAGCGATTGCATCTGAATCCCAATATAAGTGAACAGTGCACTTGATGAATTCTTGAAGACTGTATCAGTTAAAGATAGACTTCATTGAAAATGCTATGAGATACTATGCTAGGGATATAATAGTTAGCATTTTGCACACAGAGGGAAAATGGGACTGAATTAAGGCCTTTATGAACTGGCCATTGATATTCCTGATAACAGTGGCACTGGATATGTCATTCAGCAAGAATTTTTGGCTCCTGTTATAAAAGAAATCATATATTCACAGTTCAGAATTGAGCAGTAACATACCCATTCCTTTACCTCCAGTCTCATCAAGACTGATTGTTAACAGTGTTTCCATTGTTTTAATTGCTGTGTCTACACTATTGTCTATAGTTTGTGTCAACTATTTAAAGTATATTAAATGTGAATTGCTTCATTATGTTTCACTCTACTAAATGGACCACAGCACAAAATCAAGAGTCCATGCAAAGGGAGAAAAATTTAATGAATTTATATTCCTTTTTGAAATGCCAAAATTGGTATGACATGTAAAACAAAACTGATATTAATCCAAGTACAAAGAGTTGTCCTGTACTTAAAGTTTCAGTCTGGAGGTGATAATTTACTAGAAGTGTAACAAACTTGTAAGGATCCTCATAAGCAGTGTTTCTCAAACTTTCAGCAACTGCGGATCACTGCATGGATGGTTAGCACACACATGGAATGCTCAGCTGTCATAACATTCCTCTTAGCTATGAAGAGCATGCAGTTACACTTTTTTCTGCAAATAGAAAAATTGCTGTTAAAGTTGCCATAAACTACTACTTTCTGTCCACCAGTTTAAAGTAATTTTTTTAACAGTGTTTTAATTTCAATAATTTTATTTATTACATGTCATATAATGCTGTATGGACTACATAATACTGTGGCGTATTGGCCTTATGCAGGAACTGTTGAGCCACAGAGGCCTTGGGGCACAAGCGCAATGTGAGGGTTGCGGATTGTATAGGCGCGTTGCTAGGCGATGGACCATCTGATGAACTGCCATGGACCACCAGTGGTCAGTGGATCATAGTTTGATAAGTACTGCTGAAAAGACTTGTGACAATAGTCTGTTTTTCATTATAAAATTATGTTGGACACTAGCCATTGTCATAGGTATGTTTAAATTATACAACAGTTTGGAAGCTGGATTTGTTCCTATTGTCTGATGTAAAAGGGGAAAGGATTCTACTCAGTTGGGCATATTAGACAGAGTTAGTGTCCAGTGACTGAAACTAGCTGTGTCCAATGGACCCAACTGAGTAGGATCCTTTGCCCTTAACACTTGATGAAGGAAGATCTGCTTTCGAAATGTATAATTTAAATATATCTAGGAGATGGACAATGTGAAACATAATTATTTTATAATGAAATTTGTAAGGATGCCTATGAAGTGTCATTACGTGTTGTACATGAACCCACGAATTCCTGTTATGTAAGAAGAACCTGAATACAAATACAAGGAGGTTCAAATATGACTGGGACTGATTTTTTTTAAAAAACCATAATTGCCAAACACTTACTTGCACATGTCAGCCTTCAACGTACTCCCCTCCAGAGTCAACACATTTTTTCCAACTTTCTGGAAGCATCCTGATGCCCCCCAAAAAAAGACTTGTGGTTGGTGGCGTATCCACTCCCGAACAGTCTGGATGACAGCGTCGTCCACAAACCACATGCCTTGAAAGTCTGATTTGAGCCTTCCGAACAGGTAGAAATCACT